TATATATATATATATGTATATATTATGCATGCATGTTCCTTACCTGAAATACGACACGTGATTTCTCCAAGAGATATGTCCTCATGTTCGCTCCAATGATGCGATACTTCTTATCAAAGCCAATCTCAATATATTTCCCAAAACGACTGCTATTGTCATTCCTGGTGGTCTTGGCATTACCGATGGACTGGAAATGAGAGGAGAAAAGCAACAGTTTGAGTGCAAGTACTGGACTGACCTATGGGTTTCTTTTTTTTGTTGTTGATAGAACAGGACAGGGTTAAAAGTTTAAGGAGCGCACAGAGAGGTTATTGACTAAAAAAACACAGAGACAGCAAGAACATGTGTGTGGGAGACGACACACAGTGTTGCATCTCTGGGTCTCTACAGCAGGTCAGGAAGTTGATACCGCCTCCCCCACAGAGCAGAAACCTGGTGACGAACACTAACAGAATCAGCAAGTAGCGAGCTTCTGAATGAGCAGCATCCTTATAAGGCATAAATTCATTAAATCTGACTACACAAGCTTAGATCATAATATGGTACAAACTTTGCTGAAGTAATTGTTTTGATATTATGAAAAAACTTATTTTAGCTGAAGTATTTGTACCACCTCATACATTTATATGACGTGTAAAAACAAAAAAGTAAATAAACAAACTTTTATTATTTATTTTACCACAAAATGTATTGCTCCATCAGTGCTAAATAAGACAATACACATTGTTTCAGCAATCATACAGTATGGGAGTAGTGAAAGCCGGATTTTCCTTAAAGGGGTCATGAAATAAGAAACCAAAATGGCCTTAATCTTTTGACATATACGACATAATAAAAACGTCCTGTAAGTTTCAGAACTCAAAACTTTCTTGTTAGTCTAAAAATAGCTTATATTGAAGCCAGTCTGCCAAAACGACAGCTTTTGGAATGTTCTACTTTACGATGTAATAGTGTGGATAAGCACCGCCTCCTCAGAAGAAGATCAACGCCTGCTTCTACATCACTGCCTGTTTAGCCCTGCCCACCGATTCGCGCATGTAGTGTAAATAACAAGACGAGAAAGCTTAGGTCTACACAGAAACCAAACGATAAAGATGTCTCTGAAGACAACAAGATGCTGTGCAGTGCCAAGTTGTGGAAAAGCAGTCTTTGCATTGCCTTCCTTCTGATCCCAACGTTAGGAAAGATTAGATTAACTTTATTTTTAATGCAGTTTCAGACTGCGTCAGGATTCTTTACAAACAATTCGACGCAGGAATTTCAGAAAGTTTGGAACTAAAAGACAATGATGTGCCGACTATATTGGATCCGACAGTAATGTTGCAAGACACAAGTGTGAGTAACTGTTTTCATTACGTGGTCACTATTGCTTTGTCTGTTATTACAGATTTTTTTATATGTACCAGCAGCGCACAGCAGCGTCCTTCTATGAGGAATGTAGACTGTCAAACATACACAATGTTAGCCAATCATAGCAGTGGGCGTTTACTTCCGAGTCTACAATCTGCCACGCCTATTCAAACAGAGCGTCCTGATGAGGGGGGTCAAAACAGGACAGAAAATAGCCTATTACTTCTAAATTATGATGTTTTTGATGTAAAAATCTGGATAACATTACAAGTGGACCTCAGAGAACAGTACACAATAAAAAAACAAAGGCAGTTCATTACCCCTTTAAAGTGTGCCTTTAGCCCATTTGTATCATATTCTAATAAGTTGAAACTTGCATAGCACACATAAAAAGAGGTAAAACAGCCAATTTGTAATATTTTAAAAGTATTTACATTGGTACTTTTCAGTATGGAATGAATCATTTGACTGTTTAATCAGCACTTTTTCTACTTTTGTCTGTGAAGGATATATGGAATACTGCCATAAAAACAAAGTAATCAATTATGTGCATTCACATCTGGAGTTCCTATGATGCTTTAGCATGCTAACATTTATATGAGGTAGCTAGTTTCTGAAACAGTGATTGTGTAGGTCTTTAAGTATGCTGAAAAAATAAACGAGTTGAGGACAGCAGAGAAGGTCATAATAGCTTTCATGCTAACACTAAATTTACACTAATATATATGCGAGCACTCATACACACATATACACACTCTCTCTGCTGCTGTTCCGAGGGAAATGAGCCCTGGGGAGGTGAAGACCATGCAGTGAAGGGCAAATATATAACGCGCTGAACAAGACACTCATGTTCAGCCAGTGAGCTTTTAGTCTCTCAGTCCAAGGGGTTTGGCTCTCTGAGATATGAATGTCTGTATTATTAAAGCCCTTCATAAAAACAAACAGCCCAAGTCTCAGTACTGAGTCCAGAATGGCGCACTGATCTAGTGATGCAGGAAAAACTCACCTCCATGATGGGGTTGGATGCCAGAACTTTTTCTTCCACATTGGCTTCGCTGGCAGAGCCACTGACCGTAGCAAAGTAACGCATGGCGTATTTGGCTGAGACAGTTTTCCCTGCTCCGGATTCTCCGCTCACAATGATGGACTGATTCCTCTCATCCCTGCATAATGTGAAAAAAATACAAGATAAATGCAAGGAAAAAATAATAAGTTCTACTTTTTTTGAAGAAGAAGAAAATGTGAATGGTGTTTGTCCATCTAAAACTATTGCTTTAAAGTTGTTTCTACACAATGATAGGGCATTGCTGGGGGTTACTAGGGTTTCTGGATGGTTGTCACTCAGCTGCTAAGTGTTGTGAGTGGTTCCTATGGTGTTCTGGGGTTGTAGGACTGAGGAAAGACACAAGGCTTTGATGAAATGATGCTCAATCTAAACTGTAGCTTTTGCTGCAACACAGGCATCCAATGATCAATGAAAATTTCAGACAGACAGGTCCAGTTGTGTAAACCATTGCAGCTGCATTGAGAAGAAGCGAGAGAAACATCACCGTGACTGGTCTATTTTTGGCTGGGCTGCAGTGAGCAACATCCTGACCTACAAACCTTCTCTTCAGATTGAGCAGTAAAGCATATACTCACACACTTGACAACTGACAGTAAAGCCAGAGACATACTCTATGCAAACAGTGAATGCTTTGCTAATGCAATGCAAGCACAGTTTCATTGAACATACTGTACCTAAACAGATAGTTCACCTAAAATTGAAAAGACTGTCATTTAACCAACCTTGTGTCTTTCCAAACCTGTATGACTTTCTTCGGTGGAGCACAAAAAAAGATATTACGCAAAATGTTTCAGTTTTTTTTTGTCCATACAATGAAACTCAGTTGGCTCTATTCTTGGTGGTCTAACATTCTTTAAATCTTTTGCGTTCTTCATTCCGCAGCGGCGCAGAGCGAGAAACAGAGGACACAAGGTGTGTGTTTATCGATAGATTGTTATAATATCTGCATCTGTGCAGTTCTTTGTCATAAAGACAGTTTACAAAATATCATGGGGGAGCAATCGGTTTTCCATCTCCTGTAAAGTTTTCGCTGCGTTCACCCCTCATCACACCACAGCTGTTTTCTCCAGCGAAAATGAAGCCCTTACCACATAGGCTATATAAACACATACTATATATAAAACGATCATGTTGCCATTTTTATTTGAAAATTTTACTTTTAATATAAAACATATTAATTACAGTGCATATGGCAAATAGTTTTGCATACTTGAGCTGAAGAAAGAGGGTTGTACTAGAAATGCAAACAGTAACATTTTGTTTGTACAGTAAACAGGTGTGTGTGTGTGTGTGTACCTACTACAAATGTGTACCCAAAAGTGAGCTAAACATGACAAAATCTCCAAAAACCTCCCTTTGGGGATTTTTTATTTATTTATATGTTTACTATTATTTTTTATTATTATACCCTCAGCCCCTAAAACGAAAATCTTAGAATCGCCCCTGGTATCCGCGTACATACGTTGCATGCGTTGTTTACATCTGTGATGCTCTCCAAAATGGTGCCAGGGTGACAAATTGGGGAGACAAATTTGAGGAGACAAATTCAGTCTCGCGTCTTGCCGATTCCGAGCCGATGAGAATGATTCTAATTTTAATTGCATTCAGTGTAAACGGTGACTGATAATGTATTTATGTCGTGCCAGATGAGGCTTGCACAGCCTGAGTGAGTGTCTGAGAGAGACTGCACACACAAAGTAACTCACAGAAATTTAGAGATGCATACTGCGGTAGAAAAAAAAATAAAAATTTACAAAATATGAATTAAGGTAAGCAACATTATACAGCCAAGATGTTTCCCCGAATATCAACACGATTGCAATGTGACACTGATTTTATACAATAGTATTTCAATAAACAAGAAGTTAAAATCAAAGCCGATCAAAGCCACAGCAGGACTGTTGTGTGTCTCCGAGCAACACACAGCGGTGTTTCGTTACTGCATGAATCCACGTTTTTGAATGAATCGAGTGAGTCAATGATTCAGTGGCCCATTCATAAAGACAATCACATGCCTCGTTTCTGAATGAATCAGCCGTTTGAATGAATCGGTTGAATGAATGAATAAATGACTCACTCATTAAAACAGACATTTGCCGCCACCTACTGGCGGTTTAGTCATATTTAAAAGTATCATTGCATCTTTTCAACATTTATTTTTATGTTTAAAAAAATTATAAAACATTAATCTTATAAAATTATTGAAATTTTGCAGTGTAAATGCATTTATGGCACCTCAGCTTTATCAAAAAGTCTGTGTAAATGCATCTAATGCCACTTCAGATGCAGCTTCTGTTTCCTCAGCAGTGGAAAGAGTTTGTTAATACTAATTTCATTTGAATGGTAACAACTCAACAGTTTCTTATTATTCTAACTGAATTAATTGAAACAAAGTAAGAATTTGATGTGAAAGATGACACATTTAATAATGTTAGGGGGAAAAAATGACCATTTATAAACATAGTGGGAAATGACATCTGTTTTGTTACATAGAGCAACTAATTTTAAGTCAACTATTTCTTCCTCTTTCCAGTCACAGAGCACTTCATTTTGAGAGTTGTTTAAGTGAGAGAAAATCTGTAACTTAGTCCAGATTGGGGGACTTGTAATGTTTAATAATTTCTTTTATTATGTAAATAATTTTTGCATTGAAATTTGCATAGATTTTTGTTTGTATATGCTGTAAATTATAGTTCTTAGAAAGAAAATCGGAATCGGCAGGTCACACTTCCAAAAAATCGAAAATTGCAATCGGTGCATCTCTAGTTTTTAACCCCTGAGAAAAGAATGAAAACTGAACTTCACCATGAGTATATTAGGGCCTTATTCAGGTAGCTACCAAGTAGCAACAGTTTAATTAACTTTAATTTGCTCAACCCCACCTGGCCATCTGTTTGTAAGCTTCTTCTGCCACTGCGAAGATGTGAGGGTCCATGTCACCCATATTCTGCCCACTGTATGCGTTAATGATGTCAGTTCCATAGATGGGTAGTGTCTCATATGGGTTAATAGCGACTAGAACAATACCTGGGTCAAACGATAAAAAACACAACAATTAGAGCTCAATAATTGTAGACAAATTAAGTGTATATGTCTAGTATGTGTGTGTGTGTGTGTGTTTACCGCAGTATGTGTAGATGAGTTTGGAATCAATGAAGCGCACTTTCAGATTGTGCAACACAGCGGGCTCGTGAAGGTAACTGAGAGCTGTCAGGTCATTTTCTCCCACCAGGATATCAGGGTTACGGAGGTGTGGTAAGTTGTTTGTCTTGGGGTCCAATTTATACTCCAGTTCCTGAATAACACAATTCACAGCACAACAAATTATGACAGTTTGGGTTTTAAGGGGAAACCAGCATCATGGGGGTGGATTTAGGGGGTGCCCAAAGCGTGAATCCTTATAAGGGAAAACAAATAACGATTCCTAACACCGTGTCTACACCGGACGCGAGCGGCACGACAAAATACTATAGAACCACTGATCTATAATAGAGATTCCTTATATATAGATCAGTCTATAGAACTCATTATAATAAGTGATGCTGTCTACACTGGATGCGGCTCAGCGCGACACGACAAATCCCCTACATTAAACTGCTGCCGTGTTCTATTTATGATGTGCTGACACAAATTTCAAATGATTTTCAACGGTCGCTTTGTCGTGTCCAGTGTAGACACGGTGTAACGGTTGTCTGTTACAGTACATAAAATTTAACTTACCACATAAACAGATTAAGCTTGACTAAGGACGATGGCGAATGATTTGCAGATCCTCATACCACTGACAAACATATAATCTTGTGTGTGGTAAGTACTGCTGCTCCATAGTATAAACAGAGTACGTGCGATTGCGAATCTCGAAAGTGAAATTAAAAAGCAATCGTGCATTCAAAAGCACGATGCCAGTTTCAATGCCAGGTATAATAGCGGCTCACTGATGTCCGAAATATATATGTAGTATAATTACCCAATGGTATAGCCTAACTGCAAGGAAAAATATATTTTCCTCCCATCTCGTATTTATTCCCTTTAGGGGTTCCACCTACACGTCATTTTCTTTCCGAACACAGTATTGGGATGCGGCGGATTGCGGGGGGTATGGGGGGGGGAATCACGATGCCGGCTCAACATTGTGATGTCTATCAGCCTTTGGCGATGGACGATGGCATCGTCTATCGGCCCAACCCTACTACAAAGCAGGGTCAGAAATGAATGGGGCTTGAAACAAAATTGGCACCAAAATTAACAAACATACTCTGCAAATTCAAGATAAGGGGGCAAAAATGCCCCTGCACAAGCTAAATCTATTATGGCTGTTACAATTAAAGATAAATGTGAAAATTAATGAAACGTGTCAATTGCAATAGATTTCTATGTTGCATAGATTACTTTTTACTATTTGTTTGCAGCATTGAACAGGATAACCAATCAATCAGAGGTGTTTTGGTTTGTCACTTGTTTAGTGTGCATGCTCACTGACTGAATTCTGAATTTGCATTTTCAAATTCTCTCATCATCATAAACAACAAAGTGCAGAAATGTTGTAATAAGAGATTAATTTTGCAATGTACACAGCTTTAGTGATTATAATGTTGAGCAATAATCAACAATATATATTTTTTCATTGGCCTTTAATTTATAGTCCATTTACCTTATGCTACTGTTGTGTTGTATAAATACATGTACAGTATGCCACCTTTGAACAGCATTAAACAGTCTAAATTAAATAAACATAAATGCCATGTCAGATAAAGCTTCTGTTCCACCTTTGCAGTATAAAGATTACTTTTGTTGATTTTGAAAAACAACAACAGTCTATATTATTGTGATTGATGTAATTGGTTAAATTTAAATATCTGACATAAAAACAAATACATTTGTCATAAATAAATGCCCCTGGAAATTTGCTCCTGGGGGCAAATATTGCCCCTTAATGGAAAAGATAAACCCCCACCCCCCCCAAAGGCTGCGGGATCAATCCCTTGGACCAATCCCAATAAAATTAAAGTACACCAGTAAACCTATCGTACTGTGAGCAATGCTAATGAAAAGAGTCTGATGAGGCTTATAAACACTCACTGCTCTAATACAAACACGCACACTGACCTTTCCATCCTCCAGCTGTAGCTGCAGTACTCCATCTCCTTGTCTGTAGTCCTTGGTGAGCTCTGCTGACTTCCACACTTCCTCTACATCCGGGATCCAGACCCGTGCATACTGTACAGACAGAATTATCAGTTAATATCTCTCGCTCACACAATGTTCATTGAATATTACTTTTTAGTTAATACAGATTTGAGGCATTGTGATCGGAATGTGAGTGAGAGTGGAAAAGAAAGACATTCTGCTGCTAACCGTGTCAAGCTGATGCAGACAAACTGTGAAAAACATTAAAACATTTAATCACATGACACTGGATCTCAAAAGCAGGCTAAAGATATTCAGAGGGTTATGTAAATTAATATAGATTAAAAACATATTTTTATAATCTTCGCAATTAATTCAAATCAAAAGAATCATGTCAAGCCATACAACAGCTTGTTGAATATTCTGAATATTTTAGTTGAAAATACCATTGTATGCTAGTTAAATGTGGTGTATATGTTATTTTAAATAATATTTACCATTGTTCTCTAATAAAGTACAGCTGTGGTGATAATTTGAATCTGCAGTGTCATCCTGTCTGATCTGCCTCATTACTATTAACTGCATCCATAATAATAGAGACAGAATGCATTCATGACAACAGAAGACATCCAGCACAGTTCATCTGAGAGAACAACCAAATCCAACCAATAATCCTGATTATACATGACTGACCATAAAAAACATGAGAAAAGAAACAAAGAAACAGCAAAAAGAAAGCATAGCAGTCGCATTTATGACAAGTGAGCGGCACATTTCAGAGCTCCAGACTGTGATATATAATATAAAAAAATATATTTATTTAAAACTAAAAGAGAAAAACACTTTTGAGAGATAACACAAAAATATGAAGAGAATAAAGCAGCATTGATGAGCTACAGCAATCAATTCCGGCAATTGGCTCCAACATGTTTCTGAGTCAGTGAGGTCTGTTTTTCACTCTGTGTGTGTTTTAAGCATTTCTGTGTCAGCAGCGATTACATCAGAGTTAGTCGCACGGGCCAGATGGGATATAGTCCAGCTTTCCACACCATCGTTATAACTCATTCGTGTATGAGGCTCACACAGACACACTGGCACACACAGCCCTCCACCTCAGAAAACTGCTCATGCATTTTTAAAGTTGAGTCATATTAAAGTCAAAGGTACCAATACCAGTGAAATTTCACAATACCATAGCAAAAATTAAGAACATCCTTTATAGGGTTGAAAAGGGGTGAAAAATTTCCGGTAAATTTCCGGAAACTATCCAAAAATCCCTGGAATATTCCAAAAAATCCTGGAAAGTTTCCAAAATTTCTGGAATATTTCCGAAATTTACTGGAAATTTTCCACCTTTTTGAAACCCTAATCCTTTATTTAAAGGGGTCACATGATGCGATTTCAATTTTTCCTTTCTCTTTGGAGTGTTACAAGCTCTTGGTGCATAAAGAAGATCTGTAAAGTTGCAAAGACTAAAGTCTCAAATCCAAAGAGATATTCTTTATAAAAGTTAAGAGTCAGCCC